GAACACGACTGGTGGGAAGTGGCAGGCAGAAAGGGGGAGGTAGAGGCCGATGCTGACAGCCCCCGAGCTCTGCTGGTAAATCCATACACAGCAGCCAGCTCAGAGCACAACCTCTGCTGCAGCCTCCAGAGCTTTGCAACAAAGCAGACAAAACTGGTTCTGACACCTCGTCTTTGATAGCACAAACAGGACTGCAAAACGAGAAATTATAATATTAAGAAATTTTCATTTGTATAAATACGGATCACTAGATTTTTATACACACAGGTACATGTGATTTCCAATATAATTTCATTTTAAAAATATATTTAAAACCCACAAAGAGTTAACAAAACTTAACATGGAATGTAAAAGAAATTGTAAGAAGCCTCGTGTAGGAGGCTATAAAACCAGAACAACTGAGACTTTATGAGACAGGGGACATGCCCACTTGTGAACAGTATTAAAACACCAATTTTATTCAGGAATACAGAATACATTTTGAAGATTTCCAGTTTACAAAAGTTTAAGACAAGGCTGGCTCTCAACACACAACCTCTTTTAAAGCATTTAAGTAACATCTCAATTTCAAGTTGACAAAACCCCTCAAAGAAAGAAAAAAAAAAGACAATTGAAGGCCACAGTCCTGTACTGGGATACATTCAGACAGAATCCAGCACAGTATTGAAATTCTTCCTGCACTCCATATTTTAGTCCATGGGTGTAATATAACCTTGTGTTAACAAAAAAAAATACTGCAGATCTACTAAGAACTGCAAGAAAAGCCCTTGTTTTACAATTTTAGTTCCAGGCATTATAGGCAAAGTAGCTTCAAATAAGCAACAGTTAAAAACAGTATTTGTCATTTGATCACCACATGAAAAACACAGCATTAATTTTTTTCTTCATTTATACAATTTTAAATATTCATTAAAAATCAGAATCAGTGTCCTTCCATCCTTTTCATCGTTAATAGTTTTCCTTATCTACTAAAACCATTTGTCTTTGCTACGATGTCTAAAAGGAAAGAGCACAAGATTAACACGCTGCAGCATTAATTAAAGTGAGAGTCATCTCTTTTCCTCCACTCAGTTTCTAAATCTATCACAAGGGCCCTATTAGCTGTATCAAAGCGAAGTCGTGTAAATAAAACTGATTTGGCTTAAAAGTAGAGGAAGAAGGAATGCAGTTATTTAAAAATTGCAACGCAGTCAGTGTTTTTGTATATGTCACTGCAGACAAGAGCCAAGAAAATTATTCACAGGCTCTCTTTTAAAAGCATCAGTGCCAGTTTTCCATTTCCAATACCAGAGAGGCAAATGGCAATTCACCTACAAGGAACTTCAGATTACTATCAAGCAGAATCACTAATGGCTTCATTTTAAATACACAGCACTCTGATTTCAGCAGAGGTTACAGTTGAAGCTCCTGAATTTTATTTATTTGTTTGTATTTAAATGACCTTTCCAACATGCCTTCATTTACTTCAAGTAATCAATTCTTCAAACTCTTTTGTTTAAATATATTAATAGTTGCACTGAGAACTACTCAATCCAATGGTCACCATTCAGTACAGATGTGGAAACAATTTGGCTCTTGAAGAGAAGTTTAATTGAATTTACTTTTGTAAGCATAAGTCTTTGAAATAACATCCATTTGTCTAAATATGAAGTAGAAAGGAAAGCTCTTGGATGACTAACATCAAACTAAAAGGTTAAGAACAATTGCAAACAATAGGATGATCAATTCCAATTTTGCCTGCTACCGAAAAGAAACCCTACCACATGGTATTGGATGAACATTTAACTTCAGCCCTACAAGCTGCAGGATTTTCAATGAAATATTTAATTTCATCAGCACATTTCCCAAAGATCCCACTGAATAATGCACCGTAATGCTGTATTAACATACTAGAAGTGATACACCATAAACAATTTCTGTGTGATTTCAGCAATTTCAAAGAAAACAGCCTGGCAAACCTGTTCTACAAACCAGAAAACTGGAGTAAGATGAGCCACCCCAAGTTTTAGCACACCTTTTTTGAACAAAACACTCAATTGCTGTAGTCCTTAAAGTTCAGCGGTCCCCATAAGGAAGAGGAAGACAAGACTTGTTGCTCTTTCTGGATCTCTAGACAATGACACATAACACCCAGAAATGCAGGTAACAGCTTTTCCAATCAACATTCAAACAGAAAGGCACAATCTCCTTTTAAGTTGTGTTCTCAAAAACTAGACAATTCCTATACAAAGATAAATACACCCTTAGCTGGAAGGGAAAACATCACACCATTAAGAACATTTTTTTCTTCTTTTTTGGTAAAGTCCAAATGGATTATCTTAATGCAAAAATTACATGAATATATACATCCTGAAAGAGTATCTTTTTTTTTTACTATATATATGTACATATATGACAGTGAGTGACACAAGACAGAAGAAACAGGCTATATTCACTCTTTTCCTACTTCTTAGCAATGTGAGGCAACATTTTTCAAATGCCATAGGCACACAGTATTTGGGCTGCACACCCTCTGGAGTCTTAGAATACACATGGTGAAATGCAATCCCCTGTGGAAGGCTTGTTTGAGGGGTAGTGGACACAAAGATTTAGTTTCACTAATACAGCTTTAGGCAACTTTAAAATAAAAAAGATACCTAATTACAATGAAACTACTGCAAACTCTTCAGTGGTGTGGGTGTGTTTTCAAGGGAAATATGAAGTTTATAAAACTATAACAGAAAACCATTAAGGTTAATACAGCATAACACAGCTCTCTTACAGAGGCCAAGCAGAACCTCATTGAAAGGCAAGAGGGACAGCAGGGTCCAGTGATCACAGGAGATGTCCCTGCACCCATCTGTACTATTAATCCATTCACATACTTGAGTCTGATCTACCTGTAAAATAAAGAATAGCTGTCTGCTCTGTGCAATGACAGCAGTCTGCCTATGGCCTTGGTCAGTCAGTAATAAAGCTAAATCCTGCTTTGTGCAGGACAGCAGATTTACAATGCTCGAGTTCTCAGCAAAGATGAAATCTGAGCCACTCTTATACATTACTTTGCAAGGACCTGGGAGCATCTTCACCAATGCACTTCACCACAGGCTGCCTAAGCCTGTAATGAAAGCTGCCCTTAATCTGCTTCCAAAGTCAGCCTAGCCCATCAGCATTAGAATTCTCCAGGACTCTCCACCATGTCCTCACACCATGTCCTCAGTCCTGGAATGACCTGTGTTTGTAAATCTATCTGGTCCCTGCCTCTTGCATATTTGGAATCTGTGGCAACAGACTCCAAAGCTGGAAATGAAAAAAAAAAAACAAAACAAACAAACACCAACCCAATAAGCAACACCCTAACTCCCTCCCTGAAAAATCATGTCTATTTGTAAGAACTGAGACTGAACTTGAGTTGTTGCCTCACCTACACTTCAAATTCTTGGGTTCTGAGCATGTAACCTTTGGGCAAAAGAATCTACCTTACAAAGATGGGGGGGAAGAAAGCAGAAGGTGTGGGCAGTTAGCTTCCTTCACTTCCTTTAAAAAGCAAAGTCTATTAATGACACTATTCTTTTTTACATAGAAAGAGTGGGAAATGTGGGATAAACAAACACAAATAATTTTTCAAGGCAAATTTCCCTCCAGACAAGAGGAAGACACTGCACTGTGTTCTGTAAGTACAGCACTGCAGTGGCATTTAAATTCACAGCTTCTTCCCTCTTGCCTCTTTAAATACCTTTAACCTCAGAGGTGCTTTCACATGGTGATTCACCAAGGTGCACTGAAACACATTTGACAGAAGACCATTACAAGACTTATGAGAGAACAGACATAAATAGTTCTGCTGCAGAAGTTACAATTTCAACCAAATAAATGTGAAAAATGCAAACCCTGTGAAAACCAATGAGCTTATCAAAACCAAAACTTTGACATCAGAGTTCTTGTGGTCTAGCAGAACTAAACCCAAGTGATAGGCTCTGTACATACCTACACACAGGTAGGTATCCACGTCTGTTCACACACATGCTGTAGATGAGATGCCAAGCCCACACCTTTCACTGCATGACCTGCTTTCAGGTATTTTACAAATATAGCAAACTACTAATGTAGCAAGCTACAATAAAGCTTTCTGTCCTGGGTGTTTGCCTCAAAGCAGTTTCAGTGTTGAAGCTTTTGCTGGAACAATTTGGGGGTTTGTTTTGTTGTTCAGTTGTGGGGTTTTTTTTAAAAGGGAATATATGGAGTAATGTTATGCCACACAGGAAAAGAAGCCCTGCCCTGTTGTTTTGAGATGCTTCAGTGCCTCTGTACTCAGCCTTGACATTTGACAGATAAGCCAAGCTTTGTGGTGTTGCTGAGACAACCCATGCAAATTTGGCCTAGATACTGGCATCTGGGGAAAAAAAACCTGACTTAGAGTTGCTGCATCCTCACAAGCTTAAACCTCCTTCACAGTGAGAACGTTCCAGGCCACGCAGAGATGGGTCAATAGGAGATTTTCTGCAGTTTGGGCACTGTTAGGAGACTGGCATTGGGCACCAGACCTCGAAGCAGCATGAGGGCCTCTCATGTGCTCCAGTGACCACCAGTTGGCACCAGACAGTAAGAAGAAACAGCTCCCACATTGAGAGGATGGAAGGCAGTCTGAAAACAAGAGTCCTTCTGGCACAGTTCTCCTGTGCAACTTCTGTAAATATTATACACACACATATATACATTCATATACAGTAAGCAGTCCAATAAATACACCACATCAGTTCTTTTGACAAAGCACTGATGTTTCTCTTAGTTTTCTGAACCAGAACTTGCTCACAGAAATACTGTGGAGAGATGATGCGACTCTACGTTTAGCTCTCCTTGCTCTGCCTTCGATGAGCCCAAAATGCTGAATTCAAATATTAACTCAGTGTGAACTCAGAACAAGTCATCATTCAGGCACATGTCCCCCTGAAACCTATTAGCCACAGCAGATTAACCCAGACACAGTAAATGCCTTCTGGCCATCCCAACTACTGGAAAAGTTACACTTCTCTTTCAGCAGTGTGGCTGACCAGAGGATCACTCTGATCTACTGTCCTCTCCAGCAGAGTTCTGTGCCCATCCATGCTGCCATGGAAATCTCTCGTCCAGATGTCGGATGTGCCCACGGGGCTTTCTGCCACGCGGCTGTCTGCGCTGGCCAAGCTTCCCGACCGAGAGCGGTAAGGAGGAAGGTCTGCCTGATTAGGGGATTCAGATTCAGAACAGTAAGGTGGTGGAGGAAGGTCAAACCAAGGTGGTCTGCTGTAAGACACACAACAGAGTAAGAAGTTACTGAAAACAGTGGGACAGAAGATTGTACACAGTACTCCAATGATGAAAAAAACAAACAGCATTTCTCAGCTTTTCAGTTATGACACATATCAAGAGATCTCAGACCTGCTCCCATTATTCAGGTAATTTCAAAATATCCACACTACCACTGGGAAGCAAGTTTTCTGGCCAAGGTGCAATATAGTAATCACAACCAACCAATTTAACAATCCACATGCTGAGTTAGATGGCTGTGAACTTCCAACAAAGCTGGCTCAAAGACAGCTGTACGAGAGGTAAAAAACTTTTCTGTTTAACATTTACTCCAGAGAAAACACTAGAAGAAGTTACATTAAGTGGTGGATTTACACCTATATATGATGATGCAAGCAGAAGAAAGCTCCAAGGAAACTTCCACTAAGTGAGAGAGATTAATGGCTTACAGTCTACAAATAAATAACAAACTGAATTCTCCACACTGACAAATCACTTTGGCTGTCATGAGATCACACACAGAACAATTGTTAAGTAGGCACAGGCAAGATGAACACTGCATTTAGGAAGACTGTTCTGATAGCAAGCAAGTAAGAGTTGAGCAGATTGGTAACAGGCACTGGGAGCAATCAGCTCCAAAACTGCTGATGGCTTTATCAGCTCAGGTGAGAAATGATTACAATCTGGACACCTGCTCATTAGTTGTCCTTAATAATGAAAATATATCATTAGTATGAAAGTCAACATTAAGACAAGGGACCTGCAGCTAAAAGCGGCAGAGAATAGGAATTTACAATTATTCTTATATCCCACAGTTTGTACTGTAAAGACCAACAGGGTGATAGTGAACAATCTGAATTGTTGAAGTTTGTACCATATCCTTTTTAGGTACAGGGGATGTCTGCTTACAAGTTTTGTTTGGAAAGGCTTTACAGACAGAGGTTAAAATGAAGGTTAATTATCTACAAATAAAACCAGTGTCATAACTACATAACTACAAAAGCATCATATACAAGCCACACCCACACCAAACTTCAAAGCACTTTCAGCTATTTAAATTAGGAAGAGTCCTTTCCGTTCCAGAGTTCTGTTTTTTTCTTCTCTTGGTAAAAGGTAAAACAGTGCAAAGTATAAGAATGATACAGTTCTTTATAAAAGAATTGAAGAACGCTCTCACCTTTATATTATTATCATAAATGAACAGGGCTGTACTTTGTCAGTTCTGTGACCTACAACTTACCTGGGTTTTTTTTTTTTTGGTGAAACTTCAAATTCAGTTTTCATATTTTGATTCCAGACTGGCACAGGTTATCACTACTAGACAAGTGATACATTCTCCTGCCATTCTTAAAATCTTACTACCAATATGCGCTAAGAGACTTGAGTTTCCCTCAAATCCCTTTTAATACCAGTAACAGTAAACAGACCCGAGGACCATGAATTTTTCATACACAGAATGAGCTCAGATTTACTGAAACTTGACCCTGTGCAGGTGACAGAAGCACAGCACTGGACTTCTGTCAACAGCAGCAGTAAGTGGGGAGCAGTAGCACAGGTTACCAGAGCTGCAACCAGCAGAGGGATGCTTTGGGGAGGCCACAATCAGCTCCTGTACATACCTTTGGTCGAGCACAGCCTCAGAGTAGGATGGTGGGGAGTCCAGCTCCAATGGCCTGGGGTAGGGCTGGCTGGCCATGTACTGGATGCCGTTGTTGACATTGTAGGTGACACTGCAGTGGTGCGGGTGGTCGAGGACCACCAGGCGGGACAGCAGCACCGGGTGCTGCAGGCGGTGCACCGGCAGCGTCATCAGATTGTTGCGCTTGCGCTGGTGGTGCAGCACCAAGGCCAGGAAGGCCACCACGAGCACGAAAATGACAGAGCTGCCAATGATGGCGTAGGTAATGCTCGGGTAGTAGAGCAGCTGATTTTCAGAGGTCACGTAATCCTGGCCGCTCCCTGCTTCTGCAAGACAAAAGGAAAAGGAAGCCTGAGATTGGTTTCAATATAAAATTGATTTTGTCCTACGTTGTGCTTTCTGCTAACACGCTGCGTGACAAAGAAAGCTTTTCCCTTTTCCTTCAGATTGTGACAAATGAGCTCATTAAAAGCACATGCATGCAAATTGGAGATGGTAAAGTATCCCTCAGTCCATCCTCACCCACAGTAGTGCCACCATGTAAACTACTAGGGAGAGACAAGCTGAGATACACACTGTAGTAGGAAGCATGAGCATTATCATGGGAGTATCTCCCCCACCCATATCTAACAGTCACAGCTTTGGTTTCCAGAGGTGAGATACCCAGTTCCAAGCCATAACCACAATACTTCAGCTGCACCTGGCAAAGCTCACTAGAATCAGACATATAGAAGGCACAACATGTTTTGCTTTTTTTTTTTACCTTACATTCCCCTGACACCATTTAAGCCCCACACCCACAAAGTCATGCAGTCATTGAGCAATGTATTTTTGGGCAGGAATTTCTCTTTCAGTGCAGCCTGTAATTCCTTATAGCCTCAAACAGGCTATTCTGACATTCATCTACCTCAAGAAAAATATGAGGCTGAGTAAAAACCAAACCAAACTAAACAAACAGAACCTCAAATCCACACAATTGTGGATGATCCATCCAAATTCATAATTTCCTGCTGCAAAAGGCTGGCACAGTTAAGTCTTGGCATGTGATTTTCCTCTCTTTTCCTTATCAAGCAAAACTGCTTTTCAGTCATTCAGAATAGCAACAGAACCACTAACATATTTCTCTAACAACAGATAATGAAATATACACTGTGCCCAGCATAATGGAAGATCTTTACTCAAGCATCCATTGTTTTCATCCAAGATGCTTTAGGTATCTCTCTCAATATTTGATTTTGGTAGTTCACTTCCATGGTTAAACACCAAACCACAATTTCCAGCTTCACTAAAAACAGCTTCTGCATTTGTCAGTAAAACAATACAACATAAAATGGCTAATCCTTTAAACATCTCCATTTTAAAGCATACTTTCATAAGAAGAGATGAGATGGGGAAAAAAGACTGTAACAGAACCAAGAAAACATGATTTCTTCATTATGAGAGTAGTGAGGCACTGGAACAGGTTGCTCAGAGAAGCTGTGGATGCCCCATCGCTAGAAGTGCTCAAGGCCAGGCTGGATGGGGCTCTGAACAACCTGGTCTAGTGAAAGGCTTCCCTGCTCCCAGCAGGGGGGCTGGAACAATAAGGTCTTTATGGTTCATTCCAACCCAAGCCGTTCTGTGACTACTGATCCTGCTACCAACTATGAAAAGTACCACTCAGATAGAGCTGTTCCACTGATGATGCCACTACAACCACAGACCAAAGCTTTGCAGGACAGATGCAAGCCAGACTTTTCCTGATACTTAGCGTAACACCTCAGGGAGGATCTTTGCTAACCTTATTTCCCTGTGCAACTGTGCTAGAGAAAGCAGAAATCACTGTTTCCAGTCAACATTTGGTCTCTGGCTCACTCAGCAAAGTGAACCAAGTCTGCATGAGGAATGTAAATGAGAACAGAACGAAGGAAAGGAATTGACATGCATTAGTAATTTTAATTACAGCTCATCACATATTACTCTGGCTCCTTTAATACACTCCCTAAATTCAACAGCTGAGAAATGAATTCGTGTCACGCATCGCAGACAAGGGCCAGTGCAGGGAATATAATGACAAGCAGATCATTTTATGCAAGCATCAAGAAGTTCTGCAAGGACTGACTTCATTCATTCATGGATGAATACTACTACCTGCAGCAAGTGCAAGGAAGGTAAATCAGTTATGAGATCCCAGTAAAATACCATAAGACTCTCACGCAACTTGGCCCACTGGTTACAGTACATTGGCATAAGGCTGAAAATAGGATGCCTTTGCAGACCCGATGAGACCTAATTAGTTACCATGGGGTCATTCTGCAGCAGCACAGTCTCTTCTCTGTATAATCTCCATCTTACTAAAAAGAGGAGAAAAATGAGAAGTGAATTATCCATCAACTTTTTTTCCCAAGCTTTTAAAGTTATCCACCTGTTTAGGATAACATCTTCTAGGTCCTACAAGAATCAGTTCTATAAATCCAAACAAGTTAACTAGACTGCTGAAGAAAAACTGCTTTGTCAAAAGTCAGATGGGATCTGATGACCAGCTTCAGAACAGTGTGAAACAAAACGTCTCTTATCTGATTTTACAGTCCTTTCATACAACAACCACAGACATATTTTGCAGAGATTTGGGATAACTTTGCAGCTAACACACTGTTTTGGAGATTTGGGATTACTGTGGCTAATGAAACATTTATTTACCAGTAACTATTCCTTTTTCGGTGTTTAGATCTGTTTCTTGTATTCCCATTTAATTCATTGTCTTTCTGAAACCCAGAGCAATCTAAGGGCATGACTACAGATCTGTGTAGAGGTCTCTGAACCAGAAGCAGAGCTATTAGGGTGCTCTTTTGAAAGTGCTGTCTGGAGCAACCTTTGAACCAGCCAATGCAGCAATATTGCATTTGGGACTAGAATTAGCATCTCCATCAGTTCAGCTAATTCTAGCCCATGTGTGTCCAACATGAAGCAGCACAGAGAAGTACAGATATATCCTGTGAAGAGGAAAGAATCTGGTTCATTTGCCAAGTGCTCTTTCTTGCACCCCAGGCAGAGTTGAGGATTTGCATAGAGACACCCTCCCCACACAAAGGATCCAGCTCCCTAGACATGCATAGTCTTTATACCTGTCCAGGAATGCACTGTACCTGAGATGGAGTTCTACCCAGGAAGCTTCAGCTACCATTGAAACTACATCTTTTTTCACCACAAAAACAACATTACTCTCACCTTATTAGTGGGTTTTCTGGGCCAGGAAGACATAACCTTAAGGTCCCTTAGCAATCCAGACTCACAAGTGAAGTCCGTTGGCACTTCACTTTTGCCGTGATATAATTTATTCCACAAAGGCCAACCTGTACCTAATCTCTCTTTTCTAGCAAGGCCAGTAAATCCAAGCCTGCAAAAGATGAAAGTAACATTACCTGAGCCTATCAACACTGCTTGGCTTGCAGTTCTAGAAAGGTGAACTGCCCTTAATGGTCTTCCAAAGTAACATTTGACAAGAAAATTGCTCTATGGCCCAGCTAAAGCAAAACATAGTAGAGAACTATGCATACAGTTTTGCATACAGGAGACTTTTGCATCAAGTTTTTGCTTTGTCTTCCTATGTACCTGATCATGTTGAAATATGTAACTTTTTAAAATTCCTTTATAACATTCTGGTTTTTTTGTATAGCCTGGTGAATATTCACAGGTTTGGAAGGGAATGAGAGGTACTGAGCTGAGACTGCCTGATGAACCTATCCATTTGGCACTTGCTGTAAAAGGAAGAAGGTGAGATAAAAAGAGCACCTGAAAACTGTCTGTAGGACATGCACGACTACTTAAGGAAACAAAATCCATGACTCTTTAGCTCTGCTCTAGTAACTTGCAGCAAATGTTTACACATCACAGAAGTCATTTAACTGAATTTCTTGGTAATTCAGTTATCGTCTCCCAGGAGAAGCAGGCATTATCCAGGTAGATTTAAAAAGCTCTGTCTGCTCTGCTACTAAGCGCAAATGCATGAAAAAGAGTGAGTGGGCAAACAAATTTCATCTAAATTCATGGAGCATTTACTATTTCGTGCCTTTTCTTTTCCCCTTAAGAAGATCCATTTTCTATCATGCCACATATAAACAGTTTATCAATGCCATTTATGCCTATTAAACCCCAGTATCTGGAAAATGCCAAATTCACAGATTAGAGATTTTTGGAATGTAAAAAGCCTTGTGAACAATTTAGGAAAATACTGATAAAGAAAACATAGCAGGTTGTGCTTAGAGGTGTATTTTTGACTGTGAACAAATTGGGGCTGCAGCCCGGCGTTGGGCGCCAAAATATTGGAATACGATCCCACTGTTACCGGGTGGAATGTGCCTGGGCTTGTCTGGCCCTTGCTGCTTGGCCAGAGGTGGCAACTGTGGTGTTTTCACCTCAGAGACACCTTTGGCTGGCTGGATGTTGCAGCTGGCACTTGGAACAAGTCCAGGCAAGCAGGAACTCAGTTTTACCTCTGGTGGAAAGGCTTTAGGCGATGGTGAAGGAGAAAAGGAGACAGACTCTGCCGGAGGGTTTAATCCAGAGCTTTATTCCAGGGTCACAGATCTCTGAATCTTGGTAACAGCTCCAACAGAATCCCGACCGCATGGTCCCGTGTCTTTTAAGCCCCCGGGGAAAGGGGGAGGGAAGGGAAAGGTGTGCCACCAACCAGGTAGGAGGGGGGGACAAGTGACACTTGGATAACCCAATGACCCCAGGGCTGAGGGGCACCTTTTGAACTTCGCCAATCACACAACGCCCTTGCTGGCATGCCAAGATTGACAGACAGCTCTCAGCAGGACGCAAGGGGAGGGGAAGGGAGAAGGTATTGGCACACCTGGGAAAGGACTGGGATAGCTGAAACAGGATATTGCATCACACTGCAACAAAAAAAGATCTGAGAGTAACTGCATTAAGTCTGCCAGACACAGGGATGAGAGGCTATTATTTTATCTTTCACAATCCTCTGCTCAAGCCTGGCTTTTCACAGTTCATTGGAGAAAAAGCTTTTGAAATACATAATCTGAGCAGACATCTGTAGCCTTAATGAGCACGAGTCACGGTCCATCTCCAACAAAGATGCTACTGTAACAACACATTTAAATTCCAACTGGTTAAAGTGCAGAGCTGCAGCTTGGAAGGTTAAAGAACAAAAATCAAATGCAGACAGGCAGAGCCTCTGCACATTATTTACTTTTTGTGTTTGGAGTTCTTAGGGCATCCAGCTAAGTCTCTCAAAACTCTTATTAAATTTTTCATCCTTGATGATTTTATGTGCCACTAAAACAAGTCTTTCATAGATTTTTGTGCACTGAACTCTCAGAAT